TGAGGGCAGTGGGCAGGGGTGAGGGCAGTGGGCAGGGTGGGGCTGGTTAAGTAAAGGGGGTGAGGCAGGAAGCCCTTCCCGCTCGGGAGGGAAGTGTAGGCTGCTGAGCTGACCGGCGGCTGCCTGGGTCCCAGTTTATTCCTGGTCTCAGCTGGCTTTGGCCCAATTGCCTGTTCCACCCGCAACTGTGTTTTCCCAGGGAGTCGTGCACATGACGTTACATGCTCAAACCCGTAGCCTTCCAAACAGGCACCAGCATCCCTGTCAGAGGCCAGCACAGCCAGCTCCGGCCAAACGGGCTCAAACTGGGCCCTGCTGCTGACCTGGGCCAGCGTTTCCGCTTCTCGGGGCCTCGATTTTGTCCTGAATGGACGGGTGCTCCCGGGCCAGGCTGTGACGAAGCTGGCCGTGCCGGCCAAGGAGGTGCGGGGTGAGCAGCTGTGCACTAGAGCGGCCTGCGTGGCACCTTCAGGGGGTGGCGGGAGGAGTGCCGTGGCCAACAGAGGTTGCTTTCAAACCCACTGATGAGACCAGGATTGCTCCCTGGGAGACAAACTATCAGGTAAGAGATCAGGGGGTTGGGACCTGAGTGTCCGTGTCACAAAAGGAAGTAGTGGTAACATTGGGTTTGCCAACCATAGTGCCCTCTGCCCTCCTCTATCAGGAGTCCCCTCAGGGGAAGGCGCCAGCTGGTGGCCACTGGGCCTGTCCCTTTGCCAGCCTGTCGCTGTCGCTGCTCAGGACCCTGCCCAGGAAAACGCAGTCTCGCCCGGCCGCTTCAGCTCACTGTTTGGTTTTCAGTACCATGACCTTTCTGCTAAGCTGGCTTTCTTTTCAAAGGTTTCTCTTTGAACCAGCCTAGGAGCTTAGCAAATCACAAAAGGAAACTTAGCACAAATATTATGACAAGGCATTTGCTTCAACCACCCAGGAAATGTCACCGGGAGGCCTTGTTCTACAAAGTGGTGGCAGGCCCTGGTCCGGCTCCCCGGCAGCTGCTGGCGACAGCTCTTCCCTGCATCTCAGAGCCCGCAAGGCCCAGCCACGCCACCAGCTCTACGATCTTTCCCTCAGGGAGGGCTGACCCTGGGGGTGTCCATTGGTGACTGGCATACAATTGGCACTTTGAGGGCTTTAGGGGCGCAGAGCTCCGTGGCCAGCTGGAGGGCGTCGGGGACCTGCTGCCGACACCCATTGCTGTGAGTGTTGCGGGAGCTGCCCGCCCAGTGGGCATCGAGGGCCGAGGTCACTCCTAAGGGTCTCGTTCCCCGGGGTGAAGCCAGAGTCTGGCTGAGGGGCGTGGCTGGGATGGCACTCACCTTCCTGGGGCCTCTGACATGGATCCTGACTGCTGAGCAGGCCGTTACCTGTGCCCTGGGACAGAGGTCAGGACCAAGGGTTGCCAAAGGGAAGATGCCTGGGTGGTGCACCCAGGCCGGTCCTGCTTTGTTTGCTACATTATCCCCGGCCCTGGCGCTGCCTGCTGCATAGCTGGGGCCCCATGGACTTCCATGAACTAGAGAAGACCACGGAGCCCACAGCCGGAATGAGCAATGTCCGCTGTCACTCCCACCAGCTTCCAGATGGGAGGGAATCGCCCAGAAGCCGGGGACAGAGGGCCCCGTTCAGTCCCAGGCCTGCAGCTGTGGGGGCTGCTGGCCAGCACAAGGGTCCATCTGGAAGAGGCTTTCCTTCTCCGGCCACGAGAATTCAGTTCTTAGAGTCGCAGGGTCATGGGGTCTCCCTCTTTCCTCGGGTCCCCACACCAGCATTGGGCAACTCTTGCTAGCAAGAGGGCTTCTTCCTATGTTTTAAAAATAAGTTCATGGCCACACCTGCACCGGGTGCCGCCTGACAAAGTGCCCCAGCCGAGTGGCTCAAAGCGACAAACGCTGCTGTTGTTATTATTATTACTAGAGGCCAGTGCACAAACTCGTACATGCGTGGGGTCCAGCTGGCAAACCCCGATCGGGGTGGGGGCCGATCAGGGGCAGGGCCAGCGTAGGGGGAGGGACCCCAGGCGGTTGGTGGGCTGTCCTCGGGCCAGGGGACAATTTGCATGTTACCCTTCTGTTCCGCAGAAGCAAAGTTACTGTGTGTGCTCCAGGCCCAGGCAGGTGCGAGTGCAGATTCATGAGGATTCAGAGCAGCACGGGGTGCGTGATCTGTAGCGTTTGGCTGGGGGTTTCCCACTGGCAGCGTGGAAACACACAGGTTCCAGGAGTACAGTATTCCCAGGATGATTTAAAAATAGATCAACACATGCACAAATGTAAGCGAAGTTCGAGCGTCGGTGGGCTGGAGGGGCAGGCTGGGCCCTCTCCCCTGGGCTCCACTGTGCTCACGTGGTGTCCTGGCTGCTGCGCACCCCAGGCCCAGCCCAGGCCCATGGAGCCTGGGCTATCGCATCGTCCCAGGTCGCCCCTCAGCTGTAAACAGGAGGCTTGTTCACTGGGAGGAACCGGGACTGGGCAGCAGTGTCTTTGAGTCCTACATCCACTACCCCTTGACCGTGGGCTCTGGGGCAAGGTAAACACGCAGGATAAACTTCAGCTTCCTCTGTAAAATGCAGGCCTCGTGGCCATGTTGTTGGGTTGCTTTGAGTGGGAGGGATGCATGACCTTGTGCCCGCAGTTATGCCAGACAGGGGGGTTGCCCTATTATGAGCTGGAGAGACTGGGCAGGGAAGAGCAGGGAGGCACGTCCTGTTCTCTCCTCAGGGCTTTCTGTCTCTCTGATGTCCGTCTGTCCATCTGTCCAACAGACAGATGTGTGGTCAGCACCAGGTGACCCAGAGATGCCCTCAGGAGCCACAGGCCATTGTACAGGAGTGTCTCAGCAGAGAGCTCAGCGTGTGGGAGGAGGGCTGGAGGGCTGGGGGCCTGGCTGAGGGTGGCGGGGCAGGGCGGAGGCTCATCTCCTGAGACCCCAGCGAGTGTAGGCATAGGTTTCATTCCCACATTGCAAGGTCCATTCAGGGGCTGAGCTCCGGCTGGTCCCTCCATAGCATTTAGTGAGGTGGCCGGGCGGAGGGGACAGGCCGTGGGGATGCCATGGTCATGGTGGTCATTTCTCCCCCAACAGCAGCAGGCCCTGTCTCCTCACCACCCGGGCCA